GCCCCCCCCCCTCCCCCTGCCGCCGGCGGGATCCCCCCGCATCGCCCCGCGGAGGAGCACGGCCTCTGCCCACCCGCCTGGAGCTGTTTCGCTCCTCTTGGTGTCACCGCTAAATTTCTCTTCTCTCGCTGACTTACCATCTTCGGGTTTTCCCTGATATCTCTTTTTCCCCCCACCTTGCCTTATCTCTAGCCTGCCTGTTACCTTTCCGGCTTCTACCCTCCAAACTAGTTTTAATTCAGATTTTGATAGTAGACAACCCCCCCATACCCCGTTAATATCATGGTTCCCATTTCATCTACATTCTCCTGGCCCTTGACTGCCCTCTCTGAGGTTTGTTCCTGCTTCAAAAAGACAGACTTTTAAAATGTTTGTTCTCTCCATTCTTGTTGCACCATCCCAGATCTAATAATTTCATAGTCACTTTAGTGTTTGTGTTCTTTCTTTGAAAGTCTTCTGCAGTAATTCAATGTCACTCCATCCCTCCATGATGGATCTTAATTGTCTGTTGTCTCCTTTCAGGTTCTCCCTCTTCCACACCACACAAACTCCTGTGTTAATGCTCTTCTTGCAGTGGTGACTCACGGATCTACTTCCCTTTTGTGTCCCTCCCGGTAAGGACTACTGTCTAGCAATCAAATCAGGTTTATTATGGTACACCAAGCTTTTCCCACAGTCTTTCCCTCCTTTCTTGATTGTGGGGAGCTGACTACTGTCCTTTAAACAGCAGGTTATGGTCTAGGTGTTATATCTGAGCCTACTTATTTGAACCGTGTCCAAGTCTTGCCTCTGCCTTTGGCACAACAGCAGCTCTAGCCTGTCTTCTCAGTCTGTTTCAGGACTTCTTTAACTGGTATCTTGACTGCTGGCACAGCCTCCTTCCAGATGTGGAAAAAGGTTCTTGAGGGGATAAGGATCATCTAAAATAATGCTGCCAAAGCCATCTTCTCACTTTCTTTCTCTAATTACTCCCTTTCTTGTGTTTGGTGCACACTTCAAGTCTTGGGGTGTTATTCACTCCATCTGATGGTAGTCTTCTGCCAGAGGCACCAAATTCAGCCTGTAACTTTCTCCTCCACAGCCAGAGGAGGGAGGGAGTCACTTGTGGAGATGGATAAGACCAACTAAGATGAGAATCACTATACACAGGTAGCCGCCTTTCTCTACTGCTTGCTACAGCAGTAATTTGGGGTGGCTGAACTTTGAGCTCAAAGACTTCAATTAGGTGACTGCTATGATCTCCCAACTCTCTTTCTTTCTTTTTTCCGCTGGTGTTTTTTTTCCTTTATGCAGACTTGAGAGGCTGATGGTATAAGGACGGTTATGATTTTTGACAATCATAAAAGCTAGGATTTTTTTAAAATAGAAGCTAAAAGTATACATAAACAGCTAGCTTACATTATAGTCCTTCCTAACAAAAGCTCTGCCAGGTCTGGGATTGTAATTAGGTTTTTGGCTTTTTCCTCTGAGGCCTGAGATTGGGTAAGTGGGACCCATTTTCTTTTTCTGCTGTGTGCAGCAAGCATGTGCCTAAGGAGTGAATGATTGCTGTGGCTGATTTATAGGTAGTGTATAATCAGCTGTTTCTGCCCTGAGCTAGTGGTTTGCCCTAGTCGCTGACTTTGCTGTTGCAAGGCTGACTGAAATAGAGTTCATTTGTAAAGGGGTTCTTAAACTTATGTTCAAACAAAACTTCTTGTTACAGGCTCTGTACCCGTACACAGCCTGATACTGCAGAACTTGCCGCTGTTGTTTTCTGTTTTGCTGCTAGCCTGTTCCCCTCTGGAAGGGGAAACACGTGCCCAGAATCAATTGGAGACCATGTCACAGCTGAGGTTGAAAGTCCACCATAGCCAATGCTGGAAAAGTAAACATTAAGGTAGGGAAGACTTGAGGAGGCAGCTAACGTGCTCAGAAAAGCCCAGTTTTCTTTCAAAAACAAATTACGACTCCAGGCTTACAAAGGACAGATAAATCTCCTGACCTGTCCCTTAAACTGGATTTAGTGTAGGATGTGTTTTGCCTACGGCCAGCTGTAAGCTCGAGGACTAGCATATGTAATGCTCTGAGCCAGCTATAGAGCTGACAGTCACATCTTCTTCCAAAGCACATGAGAAAATTAACATTAATATTGAAGCTGTTGTTCTTTCCTTTGATGGCAGAACTACAATTCTACTGTCTATGTATTCTTGAGTGAAATTGAAAAATAAGTAACATATTGAAAACAGCCTGTTTTAATCATTAAACTATTATCCTTGTTGACAGGTCAGTCACTCTACAGTGTGGTATATTGTAATTTCTTACCTGAAGAAATCAGCAGCAATTAGGAAATGGCCAAAGTTGAAAAGTTTGCTTTTCACGTTCCAAGTCTGGAGGAGCTTGCTGGGGGTAAGTCATGCAGCATGTAACTTTTTACAAACTTATAATGTACTCTTCAGACTTATCTTAAAGCTCATATCAAAACCTTTCTACAGCTAGTACGTGCAGAATGTTCCTGCTCTTAGCACACTGAGATGTAAAGAAAAGCCCTATTTTTCTATATGCTGTTATTTCCTTAAAGCAAACAATGACTCCTCCCCCAAGCCTCAATGATATTTAAGCACACAAACAGGCTCTCAAACCGTTTAACACCATCTGCTGCATTTGCAGATTCGTGCATGGGTTGTGAAAGTTCGACAGTTACAGACCAAACTTGCTTACACATATGGGATCATCTGTCCTCCTCTACCCTCCAGTATTTCTTTCTTTTTCAGGGCTACTCAAACCACAGCTGACAAGGTGCAGTATAGCATGGCAGGTCCTCTTGCTTGCACCTAGTTGGCTCCTCTTTTGGTGATTGCCTTAGAACCAGGCTGCAGGAAACATTTTTAGTTTGTTTCTTTCCAAAGCCTTCACAAAACGTGCTCAGAAAAACAGAATGGTCGAGGTTGGAAGGGACCTTTGGAGGTGATTCGGTGCAACCCACCGGCTCATGAGCTGCTTTCCTTGCCGTAGTAGAAAGGCATTATTCCTTCTGGTAGTCTGTCTCCTGAAGCAGATGTACTAAAGTGTGGGGGTTTTTTTTGTTTGTGGTTTTTTTTTTTTTTTTTTTTTTCTTTCAGAGAGGTCCTCAAGTTCAGCCTGCCACTCTCCCAAATCTGTGTCAGTTTGACATTTCCATGCTTTGAGAAAGTGTGGTCCCAGCAGTACCCCGGGTGGTTCTCCATGCTTTTCTCACCCGGTAGCTGTCAGGCTGGGGCAACAGGCCAGGGCTGCTACAGACCTGTGGGGTCTGCAGAGAACAGCATGTACTTGCCGTAGAACAGCTTAAAAGGGTAGCAGAAAACATGAGTCACAAAGCAGAATTTTCTTTTTTTTTTTTTTTCCCCCCCCGTCTGTCCTGAGGACCTCCTGTAAGCTGTGAATTTTGTTGCTGTTCAGCTCTTGAGTATAACTTGAGGAGTGCCCTTTTGTCCTTCTTGTCCCGTATTGTCCTTTTCCACTTACCAGAAGGTACTGAGATGTATTTAGAAATCTGCCAAGTACCTTGTACTGACCCTTGTGGTCAACAGCTTGGTAAATCTGCTCCCAAGAAGTAAGGTACAGCTGAAATCCTGACTGGAGGAAACAAAGGCACAGGAAGGCCTTCTGAGTAAATAAGGAACTGCCTGATTTGAGATCATAGACTGGATTTTCTGCTCCTTAGTTTGAGACATCTGTCAAAGCAGACCTCCAGGCATGAAAGAACTTGGACCTTTTAACATGGTATTAGAAGCAGTTTATGTGAAGGCAATCTCACACTCAGTTAAGGTTTGGAAGTTGTTTCCAAACAGTGCACCTGTCTAAGTCAGAATCCTCCCTGTTGTCTGAGTGACTTTGCAGGTTCTGAGCCTAAAAACATTGATATGAAGCAAACCCAAAAGTTTAGATTTGGGGCTGTTCATTATCATCAGCACCATTCGTCATCTGTCTTGTACGGACAGTGGCACTTGCTAGAAAATCTCCACGTAAACATAAACATGACAGACAATATTCTGTAACAGCAGAAATTTCCAGACAGCAGAGACAGTTTGAGGTGATAATGAAACTATTGCAAACAGTCTAATTAATATATTTAAAGAACTGATTGTCACTTCAGTCACTTCCTCCTTTGCTCTCACATGGTATTTGACACCGTAATCATAATTGTCTGCTTTTGTGAAGCAAAACCACTGCTGAATGTGGTTTAAGTTTACCCATGTTACTTCACATTGTGCTGCTCCTAGTGCTACTAGGAGCAGTCAGTTATTGTATTTCAATTAAAAGGCTTTTAAAATTCTTAAAATGAATTGAAGTGGTAGCAAACAATTACCTGAACAAGCTTTTGCTCTTCTCTGAAGCTCTGACTCAGGAAACAAGTGCTTACAGACAGTAACATTTACATCAATGCAGTTACTTAGGGTAAGCGTAAGTCCTTTAATGTATCTTGCTGACATAAAGCCTAAACAGATATATTTATTGTTGTTAGTAACTTGTCAAACTCTTGGTAATTTTTCATTGTCAATAACTTTGCCATTATTCTTTATTATAGTTTTGCAGAAAGGGCTTAAAGAAAACTTTGCTGATGCTCAAGTCTCTGTTGTAGACTGTCCTGATCTGACTCAGGAACCCTTCAACTTTCCTGCCAAAGGTAACCTAGCATTCCTGTCTTCCGCTAAGACTTCTCCAGTTCTTTCTCCCTGATCCTACTTGGTTTTGATCTTCTAAAGACATTGGGAGAGCTTAAACTGTTTTTCAGGTAAAGAGTATGCATGAGAGGAAAGCTACATTTTATTCCTGGATTTGCTTCTTAGTTGATGTATGAACAAGGACAAATCATTACCAAATACTTGTTGTAATTTTTTTTTTCTTAACCTATGATTGCAATACTCACTCACTTCATAATCTTTATGTCATGTACTGAAAAGGATTTGAAATTAAGTTGTTATCTTCCAGATGGAGAAATTTTTTAGATCCATGCCAATCACTGTCTGAACCTAAGTTGTTGCACTTCCACTCATTTGTAAATTCCTGCCATTCTTGTATGTCGGTGGAGTGAAACTGTCTTATTCTGGGGGGGGATTCATCTTCTTTGGCATTAGCTGTCTGGAAGACAGACATGTCACCTGTGCTACTCATTTAAGTTCCTTCTGTCGTCAGTGTAGTGAAAGAAACACCTCCAGGTGATTCATCCCTTCTTAAAATACATGTCCAAATAAGTGGGATGAATTGGCCTGAGACGTGGGCATCCAGCCTTGCTGAAATTTTGCAAGTGGAGTCCCAGTGGGGACATCCACTGTGTGGTGAGGGCATCTTACTGGAGAACTGGCAAATGGCAGTTGTTGCCCACTGTAATATTTTTTTGTGCTTAGAGAATGTTAATTTTGCAACAGGTTGCCTAGCATTAAATCCTACTGTGAATCATTTTAGGGCTTGCTGTTCTTGGACTTCTTAGTAGTGCAACGCTTTATCTAAGCATGCTAGGGAAATAGTGTTCTCAAAGGGTTTTACAAGTGTGAGGAACCAGTTCTTTGGTGGGTTAGACTGCATGCTCATTTAAGATTATTAGGAAAAAATATTTTACCAAGCTAACTGGCTGTATTCTTCCAGGAATCTGCGGAAAGCCTAGAATAGCGGATGTGGGAGGTGTTCCGTACCTCATACCTGTTGTACAGAAAGAAAAAGTGAGTTTTTCCTGTAGCTGTGGGGTATAATGCATTTGTCAAAAGAAAAGCAATATCTTGTTGAAATATAAATAAAACTAAGGACTAACGGATACTATAAGATTCCACTTATGAAAGAGGCTTACTTTTCAGCGTTTTATGAGATTGATTCTGACGTATGTTAAACGTAGTCTATGTCAGGAAATCTTACACATCGTAGCAAAAATAGCATGTCGTGGTTGATGGTTCACCTTCTCCTGCCCTCAAATACAAGGCAGGTTTGGAAACATACCATCTGTGACAGGAGCTATGGAAGGAACTACTAAACAAGGGGCTTGTCTGCATGTTTATATATGGCTTGCTGCATGCCTGTGATTTCAAGTCACAGCCATGCTGCTTTGTAAAAACTGGCTGTGTTTGCATTTTCAGGCCAATGTCTTTTTCCAAGAATATCATGCCTCCTTTCCAACACCTCACCCCATCTGTCTCTGTATGATATTCCCTTCCATTTTTTATTTTACACAAATATAAATTTCAGTAAGAACAATAATTCAGATTTTGGGTAAAATGGCAGGGGACCATACAGGCAGACTCTACCTTTCAGAAAAGAAATGGACATGTACCCAATTTGTTACTACCAAATGTTGTGTTGTTCAGAAACTGTGTTCAACCTAATTATCCAGAATACTAAGGAGGGTGTTGTGAATTAAATGCATCCAGGGGTTACAGTGAACAGAATGACAATTCTGAATCAGAGCACCACACCAAAATCAAAGGATTGTTTCTCTTGCAGGTTTACGATCTAAATACAGTTGCAAAAGACATAGAGCTGCCTGGAGCTTTCATTCTTGGAGCTGGAGCTGCTTCATCTAAAATTCTTGGAGTAAATGCTGAGGTCAGTAAATAAATGTGATGGTTATCAATGAATTCATGGAAGTATCATAATAGTAGAGCAGTATCATGCTGGGTATTTCACATTTACAATAAAACGTTTAATAAACACCATTCTTGCGAAAAGCACACAAAACACATCAGAAGGAATTCAGATGAGGGCCATCCAACGAGGTATCTATTACTGAGGTAATAAAGATTAATTTTTAACTTGTAGTTCTCCAGGAAGCATGTGATTGCTTTGAAGCGTGCAAGAAACATGATTTTTTTGAAACTGATTGACAAAGACCTGACCAGAGGTTTGAATGACAAGATTTAGAAATGCTTGTCAAAGTTACTGGTAAATGCCTTTGAAATACTTCCCGTCTCTTGCCCTCTTGGATGGCTTTGATTTATCATTGTAAATTTTAAAGATGCCACATACAAAATGATCACCTGCAGGAGAGGCAGAAGACAGAAACTACTGCCTGTGGAGGCTTTGGTTAGTCAGAGTCTCAGAGTCTTTTCAAGCATAAACCTCTGGTCTTGCCATCTCCTGTTGGTGCATTTATTTGCAGATGAGACAGTCCCTCTCAGCATTAAATTTGGGCCACTATAATAGTGGTTGTTACTGTACACTAAGAAAGTATTACATAGAATTCCAGTACTTGCATGCAGGCCTCAGATCTCAATGGTTAGACTTTTTTTTTTTTTTTCTTTTAACACTAGCATTCATCTTCACATAACATTAAATGTAACTGTCCAGAAAAAGTAAAACTGTTTTCTGGAGTTTTCAATTACATTACAGTATTAGTGCATTTTTCTTACCAGTACAGACCTCATCCTGAGAAACAGAGCTGTGTGACGAAGGGGATTATTTCTTGGGATCATGGTCCAAAGCTTAAATTGCATTTATGTGAGTTCTGTTCGTGTGACTGACTCTTACACGTTCTTATTGACTTGCTTGACTTGTTCTTACATGTTCTTTTTCTCAGCTTATCCCTATTGTTCAAACTAAGAGTGAAAAAAAGCCTGCTGTAAATGGGAGCTACATTGCTCAGATAAATCCTGCAGATAAAGGGTGCCTGCTTGAGAAATACAGCAGTAAATACACTGACTGTGAGTTTGGGCTGTTGGCCAACCTTTATGCCAGTGAGGGCCAACCTGGTAAGGTACGTGCTTGGATCAAAGGTGACTTTGCTTGTAGAGCTTTGTGGCTGAAGGAAAACTCATGTTTCGATGTTATCCTATCAGTTCTCTGTGATAATAGTAAAGTAGTAATTCCATGAAAGAAATATCCAAACATAAGGAACTGATGCCGGTGAACGAGGGGAAGAATTGGTAGAGGCAGAGAGGCGTTTGAATTTTTGAGGGATAAGTATTAGTTTATTAAACCTGTTCCATCATAAATCATCCATCCAAATCCAGTCGAAACTAGCAGTGATTTAAGGTAATGGTTGTACAATGTCCTTGTGTAAATCACATCTGGGCACTTGTCTGGTTTTTTGTAGAAGTGCTTCCCCCAACGCAGCTAGCACAAAGGGGTGTCGGCAGAGCAGTCAAAAACCTGACTGCTGCAAGGAAACTGAGCAGTCTTCTCTGTTTCCAGGAGTTTCGTTATAAGAGTGGAAGCCAGCTGGTGGACAGAAAGGGGTTACTTACAGCGTTGTCTCGTGTGTGATGAATAAATGACTTGCTGCCCAGCACCCTTCACAGGCAAAGCTAGCGTTGAACAGAAAGTCAGGAGAGTTGCTCAGGTACTGGAAGGATGCAAGTGGAGCAGCACTTGCAAGGAAACTCGCATTTTCAAAAAGTAATCTTGGGTTATAAGCTTGGGAGAATTTCAGAGCAGCTTCCACAGACCTTTGCAGACTGTTGCAGTGGGAGACAGCAGTGACAAATTAACTTTATTCTCCAGGTCATTGAAGTGAAAGCCAATGGAAGAACTGGGGAACTTAACTTTGTGTCTTGTCTGAGACAAATTTTAGAGAAACACTATGGAGAAAAGCCAGTTGGGATGGGTGGTACATTTATCATTCAGAAGGGGAAAGCAAAGATTCACATCATGGTAAGTTGTTCTCAATTCATGTAACTTCCTTCATCCTTCTGAAAACAGAAGTATAAATCAGGGTGTAACATCTTAGTGCCTTGACTTTGTTTGGTATTTTTAAATGCCTGCATAAACTATTAGGATAAGCAGTGTATTAAAGTAAGGAGCTGACGTTACAAAACTAGTGATGCTGTATTACCTGGCCTTAATACAGTCATCTTTTCTTTTGAAATCCATGGGCAGCTAAAGAGCTGTAGAACTATTGTAAAATGAATTGAAATGAAATACGTGAACTGAGATGGTACTTCTAAGAAGCAATAGACTTATTTTAAAATAACCCGAGCTTCTAAAATCTACCAAGAGGAGAATCCTCACTTCAGTAGTTCTCCCACTACCTGTGCAGTGAAAAAAGCAATATTCTGGTCACTTCCATTTCTGGCAGAAACACAGTAATGGGCACTGGTGAGCTTCTTTTAGGCAAGAAGAACAGAATAGTGGGGAGGGGAAAAGTGAAGGGAAGTTGCCAGAGAAAAAGTATCTTGATTCAAGTGTCTTCCTTTCACTTATAAAGCTTTTTTTTGCTGTAGCCTCCAGAGTTTTCTGCCTGTCCTCTGAATACCGATGAGGATGTGAATAACTGGCTCAAATTCTTTGAAATGAAGGCTCCGCTGATTTGTCAGACAGTAATAGTTTCCAGAGATCCGGTGAGTCTCTTTCTCATTTCTAAGTGTAAACTAAGACTTGTAATGAATTTTGGATGTGATTTTCCTTTTAAGAACAGGAGTGTGTATATATTGTGTTAAACTCTTCCAGAGGTGGTGTAATGAAATAGAAGTTTCTCATTTCTGTCACGGGCTGAATTGAGGCTAGGTCAATCTGTTCTGAAACCTCGTGGCTGTTCATAGTGGATTGAACTGAATGATTCAGTTCCAATTGCAAGTGTACAAGTGTCTGTCCCAAACCCAACAGCATAGTTTGCATTCACTGCTGGCCACACCAGGAGAAATGTCAAGAGCATGGAAGCTTGTTCAGCTGTGTGTTCATGTAGTTCACTTTCGTAAGAACTGTTTCTGCTAAAGCTGTGTTGAAATATGTGAAACGTGTCTCATAATTGCTGATGCAAATTAAAGTCTGCAAAGCCTCATGGCAGAAAGTTATCTAGCATCTTCCACAAGCACTGAATTCATCAGCAAACAGTTCAGGATAAAAACCAATCTGGTTTCAAAAGCCGTTAAGATGTTCATCATTAGGAAGACTATTTAAAAGTAACCAGGAAACCATAGATGAAAATGACTATTTTATAAATAACAGTGCAGTCATAAGTAACATAAAAACATTTTTTCCAGAGTTAAATGCGTCGTGCTGTAGGCTTGGATATGTTCAAGGGCGTGACTTTACTGTGTTATTATGTGGCAGCCTTTGGCCTAAGGCTAAATTGTGTGCATCTTCCCAGAATCAGCTGATGAGTACTTTGAAAACAGCCATCAACAGCTGCTCCATTCAGAACCAGTGCAACTTGTGCAGTGGATGCTGCTGGGTTACTCCCATCTGTATCCACTGCAAGCTCAACAGCACTGCGCTAAGCCTATGGGTTTGGAAATGTGTGAGTGTCGCTACAGAGACAGCAGTAGAAGATGGCATTCAAATGCCATCGCATTACTCGTCAGTATCCTTTTGCAGCCCAGAAAACCTGGGCTGTGTCAAACGAAGCGTGGCCAGCAGGTCAAGGGAGGTGACTCTGCCCCTCATGACACCCCACCTGGAGTGCTGCATCCAGCTCCGGGGCCCCGAGAAAGACATGGACCTGTTGGAGCGGGTCCAGAGGAGGGCCATGACAATGATCAGGGGGATGGGACACCCCTCCTGTGAGGAAAGGCTGAGAGAGTCGGGGTTGTTCAGCCTGGAGACCTTATTGTGGCCTTTGAACACTTAAAGGGGGCTTATAAGAAAGAGGGAGTGAGACTTTTTACCAGAGCCTGCAGTGACAGGAGAAGGGGCAACGGTTTTAAAATGAGAGAGCAGATTTAGATTAGATATTAGGAAGAATTTTTTTACGATGAGGGTGGTGAGGCACTGGCACAGGTTGCCCAGAGAAGCTGTGGATGCCCCATCCCTGGAAGTGTTCAAGGTCAGGTTGGACAGGGCTTTGAGCAAGCTGATCTAGTGGAAGGTGTCCCTGATCATTGCAGGGGTGTTGGACTAGATGATGTTTAAAGGTCCCGTCCAACCCAAACCATTCTATGATTCTGTGATATATAAAAGTGGTGGGGGTGATGTCACGGTTTAATATGCTAGTTGTTATTTTATTCGCTATGCTCACTTTCATGTAAGCAGGCTCTCAGAACTGGAGTAGAGATTGTCCCTTTATCGCATGGGTCTGTGGCATTCAGTGCAATGGGGTTCTGATTTCCAGTAGGAGTTCCTTGGTGTGACTGCTTTATTTAATCCCAATGGAAAGAAAGGTAAAAAAAAAAAAAAAGGAAATCTCTGGGAGATTGACACCAAAGTGGGGGACTGTCAGGGTTTCTAAATTCTTTTCTCCTTGATGTCCTGTGGTAAAGCCCTGTACAGCTCCTTTTCTTTTGCCGCCTTAGTTTCACAAGCATCTTGCAAGTTTGCACTTCTTAATGGTTGGAGTGGGCTCTGAGATGCATGGAAATACGCAGTATAAAGGAGACTACCCCTGGAGTTTTAACCACAGTTCACAGGAATGCATGTTCACGGGCCTTTCTCTGGTGACAGGGCTTTGATCTGCGCGTGGAGCACACCCACTGTTTCAGCCACCACGGGGAAGGAGGGCACTACCACCAGGACACCAGCCCCGACAGCGTGCAGTACCTGGGGTACCTCCTGCCCGCCGAGCTGCTCTTCCGCATCGACAGGCCCCAGGAGACGCACCTCGTCGGGAGGGACTGAGGCAGGGAGGCTCCGGAGAAGGCATCACAATTTAATCTTTCTAAAATACAAATGCTGATTTTTGTAACGCTTTTCATTACGCACATTTATCAGAGTGAAGAATAAATATGAGAGCAGTAAACTGCCGACTTCTTAATTTTGTTAAAGCGAGAAATTCAGTGTGTACATGTAATTGGAATTGTTATAACTGAATTGTTATGACTGAAATAGCAGCCTTCCAGTACCTGAAGGGGGCCTAAAGACAGCTGGAGAGGGGCTTTTTACAAGGGTATGTATTGATAGGACAAGGGGTAATGGCTTTAAACTGACAGAGGTTAGATTTAGATTAGATATAAGGAAGAAATTAGTCACCGTGAGGGTGGTGAGGCACTGGCACAGGTTGTCCAGAGAAGCTGTGGATGCCCCATCCCTGGAAGTGTTCAAGGCCAGGCGGGATGGGGCTCTGAGTGGAAGGCGTCCCTGCCCATGGCGGGGGGTTGGAACCAGATGATCTTTAAGGTCCCTTCCAACCCAAACCATGCTATGAGTCTATGAATTCAAACTGTAATTTCATTGCAGTAGTATTATGGTTTTTGGTTTTGTTTTTTTTTTTTGCTATTTGGTTGAGCTTCCTGCGTGGTCACAGCTGGTGATGGAGAACTAGAAGTGAAGTTATGTTTAGAATGGGGAATTAAACTAACTTCTGGTCAAAAATAATGCTGTAAAAGAAAATTGCAACAGCTCAGACCTGCGTGGCTACCTCTGAGGAGAGAACCCGGCTGGGGTTTGCCTGCGATGTGAGAAGGAAAGTGGCCGTGTATTGTGGAAATTGGAATCGCTTAGGTTGGAAAAGACCCTTAAGATCATCAGGTCCAACCGTTAACCCAGCACTGCCAAGCCCACC